TCGGCCAGCTATCGATTAGATGATTGCTTGATGATATTTGGTTTATATTTTTGATTTCGACCAGTGTACGTGTTTCTAGTGTAGACAAGAAGGCCATATCATGAAGAATTGTCCAAGTTGAGATAGAAGTGAAAGCCAAACTAACAAAGGTATAACCTTCAATAACGCCGACATACGTCTTGTAGAATTCACTGAAAAGTGTCCCACAAATGAAGCTGAATATCTAAAGATCGAATTGTTAAGTGAAGATGAATATGGTGATGTAAGGGCATTTGGTAAAAGAAAAAGAAATAATGATGTTATTGAAACAATTGAACCGTTGGGAAAAAGAGAAAGAGTTGAAGAGCCAAGACAAGGAAACAAAGGCTTAAAGTCACAAGAAAATGTGATGTATATACCCTTCGCTGAACTGTCTGATGAACTTGATTTGCTAAAGAAATTATCAGATAAGGAAGTGACTCTTACTCTCGGATAGCTATTCAAGTGGTTACCTAAAGCACGTTCAGAAGTAATGAAGGCCTTAACACAATGAAAAAGGGATAGTGCTGCCGATCAACATGTAAAAATTAGGATCGTAAGTGGTGTATTGCAAGACGATAAACCGAAGCCGAATAAAGTGTATCTGTATAGACGGTCAAAATTAATGGTAATTTAGTAAAAGCCCTGAATAATCCAGGTTCCCGCATAAACCTCATGTTGAAGAAGTACGCCATAAAAAGAGGGTTAGAATAGAACCAAGCACATGGTAGAGGTAGTATGGCCGATAATAGGGTTAGTCAGTTTGTGGGTTACATACCCAATGTTGAAGTCGAAATAGAAGGTATTGTAGTATACCAAGACTTCTACGTAATGGAAATAGCCAGCTTTGATGTTTTGCTGGGTATGCCATGGAATGCAAGAGTACAATGCACCTTGGGTTTTAAAGGAACTGAATACTTGTGCACCATCTCCTCTCCTACAAGATCCGCTTCTTTTGTGGTATCAACAGTGCCTAGAAGTTGGATAGGTAAAATTCAATCCGATTACAAAGACGACGCTAATAGTAATGATGAAAGTGACTATGAGAAAGATGTTGACGATATAATGGTGGTGCGAAGAATAGATATGATCGAATTTGAAGAATTGAGTGAAGATAATCAAGTCCTATCGATTATGGACAAGGTGAAAAATAAAGACAATGTGTGCAATGACAAGTCAAACCTATCAATTATAAGAGCTTGAATGGTTTGGCGTTTGGTAGTTGGGTGAATTACTGGAATATTGATGATGAAAGAGATGATGGTTCAATCGACGGTAAAGACATTCCTGTTGTATCGAGATTGACAATAAAAAATAGTGTTCTGATTAACCTGGGACCCAAAGTTCGAAATAAACTGATCAAAAGCACAATAATTAAACGGTTGAGAACGAAAGTAGGCGACGTATTTGCATATGATTTGAAAGATATTGGCAGAATGAATCTGGTAGAATATGAGGTCAGAACCAGTAACGCCATTGTACCTTTAATATGATTATGACCGATTAGGATAAATAATCCCGAAACAAGGCAGATGTTCAAAAACCACCTGAGGGAAATGATCGAATATGGACTTTTGGAAAAAGGATCAGGCGAATACACTTACCACTGTTTTCCTGTGCAAAAGAAAGAGAGAGGAACTGACAAATTGAGAGCGGTTGGTAATATAAAACCCTCAACAAGTATATAATTAAAGATAGTTACTCTCTGCCAATAATCTGAGATATTTTGAAACAAGCAGCGGCCACGATTGGTATTCATCGGCCAACATGTTTAAAGGATATTGACAAATAGGTATTAGGGAAAAGGACCGTGACAAAATGGCTGTGGCCACCTCTCTTGGAGTATTACGATACACAGTTATGTGTATGGGTTTAAAGAATATGAGCGAAACCTTTCAAAGGTTGATAGATCGATTGTTGGATGAAGAAAGATTGAGAAACGTTGCTGCTGCATATCAGGATGATGTTGGCTTGTGAACTGATGGAAGTATGGAGAAATATTTGAAACCGTTTATAGAGTTAGCTGAGGTCTTTAAGAAGGCGGGTTTAACCTTTGCCGCAAAAAAGTGTTTTATATTGTATAATGAGCTTGAAATGTATAGATATGTAGTAAGTAGGAAGGGAATTAAGGTGAATCTGAAAAGAGTCGAAAAGATTCGTGAATGGAAGATACTCTGTAATGCAAATGAAGTAAGGTCGTTTCATGGCGTGATGAATTATTATCGACGATTCATTGAGAATTTTAGCAAGATAGCCAAGCCCTTGACCGATCTTACCAAGAAAGCAACAAAGTTCTAATGGGAACCTAAAGAAGACAAGGCATTCGAGCTATTAAAGTGAAAATTAAGTGATGAGTTCATTTTGAAAGCTACAAATTGGCAAGCCACTAAGGATGGATGAAGACCGTATCAAATGTATACAGACGCTTGTGATCATTCTGTGGGTGTTGTACTTGAACAAGAAGACGATGAAGGACGATTAAGACCTATCTCATTTGATTCAAGAAAGTTGAACGAACACAAATTACATTATACTGTAACCGAAAAGGAGTGTTTGGTGGTTGTGTTCAGATGTCATGTAAATGAATGATATGTTGGTGGTACTGTATTTGATGTATGGGTAGATCATCAAGCTTTAGAGTGGTTGTTTAATAAAGTCAAATTAAAGGGTAGGCTAATGAGGTAGATTTTGCTGCTTCAATCGTTTGAGTTTCGAGTTCGGTATAAGTCAGGTAAGAAGTATTGTAATGCTAATGGAATGTCATGCTATCCTGACCCATCTATTCAAGAAACTCTGACCGACAATGACTTCATTAATGGACAATTGTATAGAGTAGGGTTGGAAAGTCAAAAAATAAGTGACTTGTTCTTGGTAAAGCATTATTTGCAACAATTGAGTTGGGGACCTCACATGAAGGCACGTAACTTATCTTGTCTAAGAAGAAAATTAAAATGGTATTGTTTAATTGGTGATAACCTGTACTTGAGATCGAAGAAAGGTGCACCACCAAAACATGTGATTTTGAATGACCGTGACAAATATGAAATTGTAAAAGCATGTCACAATGGATTAGCGAATGAAAGTGGTCATCAAGGAATCAATAGAACCCTGACTATAGTAAAAATGACGTATGTTTGGGGATCTGGGAATATGTACGATGATGTGAAAAGGATAGTGTCGAGTTGTGAACAATGTCAAAGGTATGCACCAAAACTCCCGCTGGAACCAATACATGTGACCGCACAAGTTGGATTTTCTAAAAGATCTATATAGATTGTGTTGGACCTCTGCCCCAAACTGTGGCAAAGCATGAGCATGTGGTGTTGGCAATTGAAGATCTAACCAGTTATGTAGAAGGAAAAGCATTAGTAAGAAAGAATGCCAAAAATATGGCTCAATTTATTTTGGAAGAGATAATTTTATGATATGGCTGTTTCACTACTCTAGTATCAGATAGAGAGACTGAGTTCAAGATATGATAATGGAGAAACTATCATTGCGATTGAATATGGATCAACATTTTGTCGCTAGTTACCATCCAGAAGCTAATGGTCGTGCTGAACGTGTGGTTTAAAAGTTTACGCGAATTATTCGAAAGCTGTGTGCAGAACAGCAAAACTGATGGTATGAATATGTACGAAGTGCGATTTGGGCTGTAAATACAACTGTTGGTAATTTGGGTTACTCCCCATTTCATTTGGTTTTTTAAGGGATGCAATAATGCCAATCGAGCTAGTAATAGAAAGCTATCACACATATATATCGAGGAGTCAATAGACGACCGATCAATTGCTTGAATACCGAACTCTGCAAATAAAAGGTTTGGCAAGTGATCTAGATAAAGCACGAACAAGTTGTGACAAATTGAAATGGCGTTAGAAAAAGTTCCACGATTGATGGGCAAAGGAAAGAGAACCGATTGATATTGGCAATCTGGTATTGATCTATAACTCAACCCTGGATATATATTCTAGAAAATTGGACTACCGATGGGTGGGACCCTATAGAGTAACCAAAATCGGAACACATGGGCAGTTCTATGTTGAAGAGGTCAATAGATTGAAGTTGAAGGACCCGTTTACAAGAAATTGAGTCAAGAAATTAAAATTGGATAACTACGAACCTGACTGCAAAGATGGAATGGCTGAAGACCGAATGAGTCAAGTGCATGAAGAACAATTGAATGACGAAGAATATGTTTCTTCGGAAAACAATCTATCTGATTTTCTACAAGAATAAAAAAAAAAAAAAAAAAAAAAAAGTGAATAGTAATTAGTGTGAGTGTTAGTAATGCATTATATTGGTAATGATGGTTGGTATGTAATTTGGAACTAAGTAGTGTTGAAGTTGGATTGCATAGATTGAACTTCGGGACGAAGTTCTGAGAAGTCTAGCTCATGATGGGGAAATGATTGGTTGCATGTGATTAACAGTAATTATATTTATATCATCTATACGATATTCGAATGTTTGTTTTTAGATGTTTCACCTAGCTATCTTCCAAATATCGGCCTTTTATATTAAAAAATTTCGACCAGTGGTACAGGCTTGTTAGGTTTTTAATAACTTTGCTTTCGATTCAGATCTTTCACAGTTTTCACCACCACATTTTGAATCATATTTTCGATATCGGATCGATTCAACTTTTCTTCTCGTTCTACCCGGTTTATACTCAATGCTGCAAGTCCATTCACAATGCTATCGAGGTTCACTTCTGCCTTACTTGGTTGAGAAGTTTTGTCAAGTATATTCGATTCTTTATGTTCACTGAGAGCTCTATCCCTATTGTATTCTTCTATCTCTAATGCCATTTTCTTTGCCTTTTCGTAATTTTTAGGGCAGCGATTCTCTACTTTCATTTTATATGGCTCTTTTAGACCATGAATATACCAGTTACATTTCTCATCACTTCTAAGTTGATTCTTCACGACTTGCGCATAAGCTTCATACCGGTTAGTATATTCTCTTATCGATTCCTTTTCATCTTGCTTGAGGCGTTTAATCGATTGATCTTCACTTTGGTCTCATTTTCAGCCTTTATTTTCTCAATGATTTCCTTTTTCAGATCTCGCCAAGTTTTCTTGGTTTGTATTAGGTTCCTAACCCATACTCTCATACTTTCTGGCATGTGCATATGCACTATCAAACACAAGGTATTGTCCTCATACTTCTTAGCTTTTTCGTAGCCTTTGAAATCAAAGAGAAAATTCTCTATATCATTGACTTCAGCACCATGGTGTATAGGTACAGTTAGGTCTTTGCTTCTCATGGTTTGTCACTTCTTTACTTCGTTTTTTTTTTTTGTCTTGCTTCTCACGGCACTACCAAATGTAGCGATTTCAATAAAAGATTACTTTTGTCTTGCCCAGGTTCTTCTTTGTCATGGGGATTAATTAATATCGTATAAATACTAAATTCTTGCCTAAATGGCTTAATATATTATGTTATACACTCATGGCTTCTCTAAGTTCGTTTTAATTCCAACACCTTACCCCTTTACTTAGCAACGGCTCTAACCTTCCAATTTCTTTAAGGTACTACCACGTTAAAAGTTAGGCTAAAGTTTTTATCTAAGAACGATAGAAGTTGAGATTCGATTGCAAGATCAAATCTCTTATTTATTCAATTGTCATGTGCGCTTACATCATCGATACTTAATTTAGTACAGTAAAAAAAATTTTTGAAAAATTTTTATTATTAATATAAAATTAAATTTATATAATATATAATCCTATACCTCTATTTTACTTCTATATATTTAGAAGTTTGTTAACTTGACAAAAGTTATATTGATACAATTAAAAATTATAATTGAATTTATTTGTCATTAAAAATTCAAAAAGAAATTACTAAAAATTATTAAATTATAAATAGTAAAATTTTTATTTGATAAAATTTTTAGCCTATTAATGTATGTTATAGAGCTAATTTTGCTAATTCTAATAATTATAAAATTATTAAAATTGGATAAATATATAAAAAAATTATAAATAATTAAAGTTTACTAATTTTTTACTATATTGTTACTATATTTTTACTATGTTTTATTATATAAAATAATAAAAAATTAATCATTTTTAGACATGTATTACCTAAAAACAGGTTTATTTAAACTATTTAGAAAAGTATTATTTATTTTTTTTAATTATTTTAATATCAAGATTAGTTTTAAAATAGTTTAAAATTTTTATTATTTTTTATATTTTTATAAAATTTTGTACAGTATAATTTTTAAAAATGTACTAAATTTAGTACAGTAAAATTTTAATGAAATATAAAATACAGTCAAACCTCTCTATAGTCACCTCCTCTATAGTCACAAAATTGATATAATTACAAATTTATTTTTACCAATTATTTATAACTATATAGAAAATACCTCTATATTAGTCACACCTCTTTACAATCACAGTTTTCTGTATCCTGAAGGTGTGACTATAGAGGGGTTTGACTATATTTAAGATTAAATTATATAAAATTTTTAGTTTTACTAAATTACACCACTAGTGTTAGCACCAAATCGATTTTGACTAATAAAATTAATAATCTGCAGCATAACGTCAAGATTAGGTATAACATAAAAATCAAAATAATCTTTATTATTTTTTTAAAAAACCTTTAATAAATCAAAATTTTGCTTATGAAATCACCTTTTGTATTTTAATAAAAAAATTCCTTGTACAATTTTGTTATATACTAACCTTTATTTACAATTCTAGCTATAATCCTAACCTAATATAAGCTAAATTTTAAATTATTTCTTTAATTTTTTGTTTATTTGTTTTGATAATAATTTTTATATTACACAGCATATATAGTATACTGGTGCTAGCACCACCAATTTACTTATTTGCACAGATAATACAAACTAAAAAAGGAATCAAATTTTGTAAATAAACCAAATATATAAAAATAGAAGTTTAGAATTAAGATATTAGGGGTAAGGTGTTGGAATTAAAACGAACTTAGAGAAGCCATGAGTGTATAACATAATATATTAAGCCATTTAGGCA